GCCTGGGCGCCGAGCCCCACTCCTGGCCCTCCGCGCGCCCTCAGCGCCCCCGCTGGGGAAACTCGGGGTCGCCTGGAGCCTGGGGAGCGTGAGCCGGTCAGCGCTTCCTTTCCCCGGCGGAGTCAAATTCTCATTATTCGCGGGCTCTCCCTCATCCTTCCATTCCAGACCTGGCCTGTCCTTTATTTGGCATTGGATACTTTGAAAATTACTGAAAAGGACCTACCTTTTCATGCCGAAGGCGTTCGCCTTGATCCCTGGCGGGGACCGAGGCGCGCAGCCTCCCGAGTTACCTGTCGGCACAAGGCTGGGTGCTGTGTTTTCCGACGGGAAGGCGGCTGAGGCTTCCGCCCTCCACAGAGCGGCCTTAGATGAGCGCCACCTGGCCCCGCTCTCTCCCATAAGCATGACTGAGCTCTAACTGTTTCTCCAGCCCTGATCCCGCAAGGCTTGGGCGGAGGGTGAGGCCTCTTGGTGTTAATGCCAAACGCCTTCTCACTCCCCTTGGCCTCCGGGCCTGCCCTTCGGAGCGGGTGGCAGACCTCACCTGCGGGGGCATTTGTACCAAAGAGTGGGAGCTGGGAGGGGAGGGTCCTACTGCTTCTCCCGCTGCTTTGTCCCCCATACCCTGCAGCCTTGGGGCCATTTGGGCGGAGGTGGTTGTACCCCTTTGCTTTTGTTTCAGGCCCCCTGAACACCAGGGCGGGTAGGTCTCCCATCAGATGCCTCCATCCATTTAAGAAAGCCGGGCCTAGGAATGTGACGTGGAGACCTTATTCCATGTTCCAGACGTTGTACAGCTGGACAAACTGGGGCCCAGAGAGGACGAGGACCTTGATCAACTCAGACTGCACAGCGCTAGGCTTGGAGCCAGGGTTCCTGACTCCTTCTGCTGCCCTCTAGTTACAACGGAGACCTGGAATCTGGCTTCTCGTCTGCTTTTATTGAACTTGTGGGAGTTGTCATCTTTAAGAAATCCAATAAAAGGCATGCGATTACTGCCCATCTGCTCAGTCAGCTCTTTTGTCTGGCTTTTCTTCACTCCGGGAAGCTCCTCTGGTCAGCTTTTTCCTTACTCCAGCCAGCTGAGGATGGGCCTAAAGGGGCTGGCTGCGTGCCAGCGTCCACGCCTGGTTATAGATGTGTACGTACTGGGTGGAGGGTGTTTCGTAGGAAGTTCAATAACTGGTCAGTGAATCCGTTGCTCATGGTGGTTGCCTAGAGGTGGCCTGAGAAGGACCTCAGCCCAGGGCCTTCCGTCCTTCCTTGGCTTCCTGCCCAGCTCAGCATTTTCTGTTCATGACGACTCCCTAGAGGAGGGGACCCTAATATTTTAACTTTCTGGGACCATCAGTTGATATATCCATTTGTTGGGAAGCCCTGAAGAAAATGAGGTGCATGTTTTAAAGATACACAGACCTGACCTGGAAATAGGAAACTCAGGAACCGTCTTTCAGTATCTCTACCTCTTCTGTACTTTTAACAACTGACTTTTTCACTTCTTTGTTCCGTATTTCCAACTCATAATTTGGCTTGCATATAACTTTGGCTTGCCATGGCCCTAATTCAAAGTCATGGCATCCTTACTTTTTTCAGTTCCACTGGTAAATTCTCTCATATTTCTTACCAAAGTCCTGGTCCATGAACAGTTCAGGGATTGACTACCTTTGGATCCCATGTCCACTCTAGTCCAGTCAGCTGGGTGATGGCAGGTCACATGGTTCACACCATGGCAGCCTAAGGCAACATCTACAGGGGAGAGGTTGGAAATATTCAGAAGCTTGAATTACAGGAACTCAGAGTTATGGATTACCTTAGTCATCGATTCAGAATCGGGCATGAATCACAGGGAGGAAATTTTTACACAAAAGAAAAAGATTTTATTTTTGTCTTAGTCAGTATCCCTGGGTGAAATGAAGGGCACAGCACGAAACTGTGTTCACAGTGCAACACAGACCTTCAGGAAACAACTTTCAAAGACTGGCCTGCTCAGACTCCAGTCTCGAAGCAGGCAACCCCGTAACCGCTGCCCCTGCTGTCTTACCCCCTCGTGAGGTCATGATTTCAGGGGCACTCAGCTTGGTGTCTGGGCTGGTCCCTCCCACACGGGCCGTGAAATTGTTATTTAGGGGAACTTTGTGTAGTTTGAAGCAAAACACAGAGCCAAATTATCGACTCTAAGCCCCGCATGGGATATCTCCGGGGAACATTTGGGCCTGTCACACATTCCAGGAAGGAGCAGCGGCACAGCTGCAGCCACAGCTGCCAGGAACAGCCTGGCTCCCGCCCTGCGTGTCGGGGAGGGCAGGGGCTGGAGGGTTTCCTCTGGGGGCCCTGAGTGAGCTCACCCTCACCCGAACGCTGACTTCATCCATCCAAGGCCGTTTGGCTTAGAGCCCAGGCAATATGAGGGGCTCTCTCCCATAACAGGCCCTGGGCTACCTAGCAGACTTGGGGTGTGTGTGTGTTTCAGGCCTAACCCAGCTCCCCAGAAATCAGGGGGTGCATATTGAGCTATGCAATGTCAGGGGGCTTTAAGAAAAAAAGAGGGGGGCATCAAGGGGTGGTGGTAAGAGGAGAACTTTGTTATTTTAAGGTAGAAAAATGCAAGGAAGTGAAGCTTTTTTCTCCATTTGTTCTTTGGCAATCCCATCCGAGAATTTCAGGGGCCATCCAGATGACATCATGTCTTACAACAAAGAACTCTCAGTAATTCTGTGAAATGGAACCCCTGCCCGCACCATGTTTCTGATGGAAGCTGCTTTGTTATTTATGTGTTTTAAGCTCTGTTCTATGTCACATTTAAATGAGGGTTTAATAGTCTTCAATATCTACCACAAGTAGATTCTAATGCATGAAGATCACAGGAAATGGCCTTCACCTCTCAGTATCACAAACATTTGGAGTACAAAAAGTCCAGGGATGGATATTAAAAGTAAGAAAGGTACAGAAGAAGTTTACTTTAAAAATAACCCCAAAAAGTTTAAAACTTGATTTTCCCCCAAAGTCCAAATAATTGTGGTCTAACCATCAGAGTAAAGGCTTCATTGGCTCAATCCTTTGATAAGAATTAGTTCATGCACAACTGTATACCCAAGGGTGTGTGTGCAAGAGACACGCACATGCATCACGCACGCAAGCACATACACCCACAAAGACGGATACACAGCTGAGCTTTTGATGTTCTAGGCACTTGATATCCACGTTCTTAGTCTGCCACCTGCCCATTACATTGGGCAAGTTACTTCTTTGGAGGCAGGACATTTTCTTCAAAGTAGCCCTGGTTGACAACATTCCCTGCTGGGAAGTATCTAGCCACCACGAAGGAGGACCCGTCACTTGCAGATGCCTTTCCCACTCCCATCTTCTTCGTATTCTTCCATACCATGGCCGTGAAGTGTCCTGTAGGGGAGCAGACAGGGGGAGAGGGACACAGGTTAGTTAGCAACGTCTGGGGAAGGATGTTGCAAGAGATTCTTTAGCTCCTGCACCATCCTGCCAGGCTCAGGGAAGCTTGATCTTCACAGACACCCGTCAGAGACATGGGACACGGAACATACCAACTGCCTGCTTTTCTATAGCATCAGGTCCTCTCTGCTCGCCTCACCACTTATCGATGCCCAAAGGTTTCGTGGCCTCCCAGACATCATGACGAATCCAAGTTACCCCAACAATTAGGATACCACCCTACCTCGAACCTGCCTTCAACCCTCCCCCAAACTGCACTCTTCAAAGTCACCAACGATCTCCACGTTCCTCTCCAATGGTCACGTTTTGTCTTCATCTTACTGGACATCTCAAGAACATTAGGTTGACTCCTCACCTTTTCAAAGCACTCGCCTCTTGGGGGTTCCATGTTGCCACCTCTTGCCATTATCCCCATCTCACTGCCTCTTCCTCCTCCTGATCTCACTTGTAAATGTTGGAGGACTTGCACTTCCCTAGACTCAAATCTGGGCTCACTTTTCTTGCTGCACTCCTTAGGCAATTTCATCTTTCCCTGGCTCCTAAATTCACGTCTCCAGCCCAAACCTCTCCTCTGTGTTCCAAACACAACTACTTACTTGACATTTCCACTTGGATGACTCACAGACATCTCAAATTTAACCTCACTCTTGATTTTGGGCGGCCCAAAGTTATCCTTCTCCCCACCATCCCATTTCCTTTCATGACAATTCTATGCACGCGATCCTAGGAATAGGCCTGTATTCCTCACCTGTAGAGAGCGCCTGGGAAGGCACACGGGCAGATAGGCCTGTATTCCTCACCTGTTGAGAGCGCCTGGGAAGGCACATGGGCATTTCTTAATTACTGTCAGCTGAATCCAGTGGCGTTGGCAGAGCCACGTCCTGGAAACAGGCCTTGCCAGAGGCAGGAGTGTTGTCAGCCTGACCTTCAGCCCAGGTGCCAGGGGGTGGGTTTCGTTATCTAAATCCAGCCAAGCACCAGGAATGAGTACGACTCAGGCCCACCCAAGAATGCACATAATCTCCTTTGTCTTGACCTTTAGTAAAACTTCCTGGGTTTTGCTGTATAAAATAAACAGGCTGTATTGGCTCTGGGTCCCTGTCTCTCCATCAGAGGACATGGTCCCACCCGGCCCCAGCTTTTTCCTTCTATCTCTGTGTCTGTCTCTTTCTTTCATTTTCTCAATCCCCAGCAGCCCTTACTCAGGAACCGGACCGCTCTCTAGCCGCGCTGGATGCGGAGAAGAGAGAAATGTTTACACTCTCTGAAATCAATAAAAATATATTTAAGAAAGAAGATAATGAATCATCTTTAATGAAATGTAAAAGCCTGATGTGCATTCTTCCACATACTGTTCCATCCTAATACAAATATCAACTAGAATCATGCAATATTTTTGCACAGCCTGTATGTCATAGGAACCCTACCAAATCAAAAGCTATAGACTGAACTCATTCTTTTCCATAGCCACTTTATTCCATGGCACGGATATACTATGTTCAGGTTGTTTGCAGACTGACCATTACTAGCAACACGGCAATATATAACTCAAGCCCCGTCGCCCCTACTCAGGAACGGGACCGTTCTCTAGCCGCTCTGGATGCGGGAAAAGAGAGAAGTATTTATATTCACCCTACTTCATTCCCCCACAACAACCCAATCCTGACAAATCTAACTATATATAAAAGACTTCTCAAGTCCACCCACTCCCAAAACTTTGGTCCCATCCACAAACTTTTCTCACTTGGACCATTCATTGCAATAGTCCCCTGGCTGGTTCCCCAGCTTCCACCTTTGTCTTCTCCAGTTCACTTTTTGCTTGAGTAGCCAGAGTGATCGTTCTGTGACTGAGTCAGACCTGATCCTTCCCTGCTTAAAAATCCTTCAATTGCTTCCAATTGCACCTGGAATGAGAGTGAGTGCTTTGGACCAGTGGCCTCTTTTCCATGCCTTGAACACCCCAGGTTACTTCCCACCATGGAGCCCTGGCACACACTGGTGGGGAATACCTTCTGATGACCAACGTTTTCTTGTCCCTTAGGCCTCAGTCTTTTTTTATTTTATTTTATTGATTTTTTACAGAGAGGAAGGGAGAGAGACAGAGAGTTAGAAACATCGATGAGAGAGAAACATCGACCAGCTGCCTCCTGCACATCTCCCACGGGGGATGTGCCCGCAACCCAGGTACATGCCCTTAACCAGAATCGAACCTGGGACCTTTCAGTCTGCAGGCCGACGCTCTATCCACTGAGCCAAACCGGTTTCGGCAGGTCTTAATGTCACTTGTTCAGAGAAACCTTTCACAATCCCTTTGATTTCCAGAACATCTCCCTCCCAACATAGTCTTATCACACCTGTTTTTTCCCTTCATAACATTCCTACCATTTGCAATGTTAGATTTGAGTACTGGCTTATTGCTTGGCTTCTTCATGAGGCTAGAGAGCCCCACATGGGCAGATATCAAATTGTTTTATTCACCAAAGTATACCCAGGACCCTGGCACAGCCTGCACATGCAGCTTTTACTGAATGAGTGAATGGAATGAAATGAGTGAATGAAAGGCAGATGAAAGAATCCTCTTGGATTCTGGCTCTGCTTTCACTAGAAGTCAGGCCTTCTATCTTTGAGACCTTAACAATGTAGAGCCTCCTTCAGTTCCCTCTGCTCTCAGACAGACCAGTTCTTTCTCAAGTTACTGCCTGATCCTCCAGACACTTCCGTGGCTTGCTGAAGCTTCTCGGTATCAGTCATCCACTCAGGTCACCTGCCCCTTTACTCATGGATCCTTTCAAGCTGCTAACATGGCTTAACTTCCTACTCCCCTCCCATTTTGGGGTCAAAGAATTGATGCTGCAAAGGTACTCTTTGCTCAATGCCATAAATTCTTCTTATCTCCTGGGAGTAAGGGTCGGGAGCTCATCTCTTCCACTTCTACTATTGGGGTGACAGATCAATGGGGTATTTACTGCCACGTCACAGGATGGCATCTGTTTGCTAAAATAACCTTGAGGCATTGTGTTTCCTCCTGGAGGGCAGGCACCACAGCGGCCTTACCGACCCCCATATCCCCAGTGTTTAGTACTGGACTTGGGACATAGCAGCTGCTCAATAAATATCAGATGAAGAAGAGACAGAGGGAAGGAAGAGGGAGGAAAATCACGATCAGAGTGGCCCGGTTTTTCCCAGAGTGGCTCAGAAAGAAAGAGGGTAACCACTTTATATCCATTGGAATGTGTGTGTGTGTGTTTTTTTTAAAGAAACAGATTTTGGTGAGGATGTGGAGAAATTGGAAAAGTTGTACATTGCGGATAGAATGTAAGATGGTGCAGCTGCTGTGGAAGACAGTATGGTAGTTCCTCAAAAAGTTAAACATGGAATTACCATATGACCTAGCAGCCCACTTCTAAGTATATACCCAGAAGAATTAAAAGCAGGGACTTAGATATTTGCACGTCAATGTACATAGCAGCATTATTCACAAGGACTGAATAGCCAATGGGGGAGGGGGGAGGAGGGAGGACTAAATGTTCATCAATAAATGAATAAAATGTTGCATATACAGACAATGGAATATTATTCAGCCTTAGAAAGGAATGAAATTCTAACATGTGCTACAACCTGTATGAACTTGAGGACATTATGCTAAGTGAAATAAGCCACCCAAAAGAACAAATATTGAGTGATTCCCACTTATATAAGGTTCCTAGAATAGTCAAATTCATAAAGACAGAAAATAGAATAGTAGTTACTAGGGGGATAGGGAGGGAGGGGAGTTATTGTTTAATGGGTTCAGAATTTCAATATGAGATGGTGAACAAGTTCTGGAGATGAACTTTTTCACTCATAGAGTGGTGGTTGCACAACACTATGAGTGTATTCAGTCCCACTGAACTCTACACTTAAAAATGGTTAAGATGACAAGTTTTATGTTAAGTATATTTTGCCACAAAATTAAAGCAAGAGAGAAAGGAATAAACGAACGAATACAGAGATAAACAAATAAATAATGGTAGCTACACCTTTCCAATTTTCCAGGGACAAGAAAACAGTGATATCTCCCATGTGTATCAGAAATGGTAAGGACTGAATAAAATAACTGTTGATTGATTAAATGGTGTGTTTGCCCCCACAGTTGAACTTTTAAAAAAAAAAATTAGGTATAGTTTACTTATTTGTCTACATACAAAAAAGATTTCCTTTCTGAAAAATAACCAAACATAAACACTACTCAACAGAGTCGATGTGATACGGTCAACGCAAGAATGAAAAGAAAACAAACCTTACGTACAACTGTGCGTCTTTTCTGCTAATCCTCACGCTTGTATTAACCATTGCCCAACAAAAGCCTGATTTTCACCCCAGAACAGAGAAACACTTCTTGCCGATTCACCCTGGTCCTCATGGTTGTGAGTCGCAGCTCCAGGCTTTCGGCAGCTTTGCCAGGTGTCACCGCTTCTATGGGCTGTCTGTCCATCAAGGCTCAAGTCCTTTCTCAGAAAAGCCTTTTCCCTCAACAGACCACATGCTCTGGCCATGGACCCGCCCACGCCCTCTGTCACCCAGAAAAGGAAGAAAGAGCTGCTGTTTATCCGCTGGTTGCCAAGAATCTGATTACAGACACAACATGAGCTGCGGCAGCATGAATGCCTGTGGAAGCCCTTTCCAAACAGATGAGACTAAGTTATCTTTCTTCTGGCCCGGGAGGTTTCTGTCCGCACCCGAGATAACTGAGTATGGTATTCACAGATGAGTTAAAGGACACGACTTCCTTAGCAACCATCAGATACACACTGGTTTCTAACTCTAAACTACGAACAGCTTGCTTTTTCTTTTTCTCCTAAATAGATCACATCCTCTTTCCTGCTCTGGACCCAAACTTTCTAAAATATACATTTGAAAAACACGTTAAGTTACAGCAGAGCTTTGCAAGGGAGTCATGCGCAACAGTAAGGAAGAATGAGGAAGCTCTTTTTGTACCGACAGGGAACAATCTCTGCCAATCTGCTGTGTGAAGAAAGCCAGTGCAAAACGGATCCTGTATCTGACACCAGAATATAAAAGAAGAAAACAAAAACGTATATTTACACAAACACTGGCATAAGCTCAGAACAACTCTACAACGGTACACAGGAAACTGGCATCAGTGGTTGGCCGGGATGGAAGGCAGGCTTTCCCCTCATACAGCGGACACGTACCAGGCCACGTGAAAGTACCGCTAATTCAGAATACACCAACAAACAGACCTGCTCATTAAAACAGAACATAACAAAGGAGCTGCAAGAGACCATTTCCCTCCACTCAGCACTTGGCATAGACCTGTGCTCTTTACCACAAGATGCTGACAGGGGCGGGGTGGCTGGAAGGAGATTATAGATATTTCAAAGGCCCTTCCACCTACACCATGACCTTAGGTCAGGGGATCCCAGAGCAACGGTGCCGCTCTGGGGGAGGCTGGGGTGGGAGACGGGCCTGCAGATCTGTAAGGGTCTTGCAAGCCCTGATGGTAACTCGCCCCAAATCTGTGCTCCTGTCTTAGGCTCAGGCTCTGTCCATCCCCAGGCATTGCCCACGGACACCGGGGATGACATAGGGACTATAGTTCTGGGGTTTTCATCTTTAGGGGTGGGCAGTGTGGAGCAATGAGTGAGGCGGGTGGTCAGTGATCACGGAAAGCTGAGTCCCGTTCCTGGCTCAGCTTTTTATTCCGTATCAATGCAAACAGCTTTCTCATTCTTCCTTACTGTTGCACATGATTCCCTTGCCAAGATCTACTATATATCGTGCGCGGTTCCTGCCTGGGAGCAGGGGCCGTGGAAAGAGCATCAGACTGAGGACAGAAGGTGTAGAGAGGTC